TTTGTTACAAATAGGGATTTTTGTTCCTCTTTTGCTGATGTCACTCTATGATCCTGCAGGGAATGGTGCTCAGATCTCCGCAGCCTGACAAGCCCTGTGTGCCCTTTGGGACAGATGTACTTGCAAGCAGGAGATTGTTTTTCCTTTTGCTGCCCAGATTTATATTTCACTGAAGTCCAGTATCGATCCCGCTGCCGCTGGGCTGAAATCTCATTTTACTAAATGGGAGGAAAAAGTTCCCCCAGCTGAACACACGCAAAATGGAAAATCCTGCAACAAAACATCTCTTAAAAAAAGGGGCTTGAACGATTTCGCTGAGCCTTGAGGACTGCGCTGCTGACATCGGAACGGGGTGTAATTTATTTAGCTTGACCTTTCCCTGCGAGACCGTGCTGGCGGCGTTATCCAGGATCCTTTCTACCACTTGTGCACCCATTGCCAAGGTGACGTCCCGTTTCGTGCGTCAGTTGGTGAAGATCGCATCCGCGCTGCTGTGACGCTTTGTTTGCTGTCCTGCCTGACAAGCTCTTGGCAGGGATTCAGCTCCCATGGATGGCAGCTGCTCCACGAGGGACCAGAACAGATTCAAGCTGGATGTTATTACGGGCGGTTTCATGTAGACAGAGTGTGGGGGACCCTTGGATGAGACTGGACCATGGATGAGATAAGGCGAAGATGCCCAGAGGTACTACCAGGTGTAATGGGACTGGCAGGCGATCACAGCACTTCGACCCACGATCATCCCCATCCCATCTCATCTGGGATTTATGTGAGCCCTCCTGGTGCCGGGGGAGTGGAGGCAGCTCACCAGTGCTCACTGCAGCAGCTTGCCAAAGTGCAGCCAGGTTTGGATGGTGCAGCACGACTGGTGGAACAGATCCTGCTGCTGTGCAAAACCACCCCAAATATTTCTCTCCCCTCCCAGTGCTTTCCCAGCAGGTCCCAGGAGGAGATGGGGATGCAGGTGGGAAAGATGCATCTGCCCTTCACAAGAGATCCAGTTGGCTGTGATTGTCCACGACAGCCACAGTGGGGAGGGACACGTCCCATTAAAACCCCACCAAGGTATTGAAACCCCTGAACAAGGGGGATTTTCACTGCTGGTTCTCATGACTCTCAAGGGGACTTTGGTGATGGATGAGGATAAAGGCTGCAGCTAAAAAAGTTCCCATACCCCTCTAATTTCTTATAAGAGACTCAAAGGTCTACAGTTAAGGAGGAAAAAATGAATTAGGTGGCTCCTGGGGCAAAAGCTTGCTTTGCTTCAGATGTCAAAGGTAGAGAAGCCTCGTGGAGGTTCCCCAGGTGCCCATCCATTTCCCACTCCAGACCTCCCAGCCTTGTGGTGAGCTGCACCCCCCTCCCACGGGTCTGATCTGAAAGAGGAGCCAGGCTCCTTTAGGAGGATGAGACTGGAGATGCTCTTGGCCACAGCTCACGGCTCTCATGGTACCTGTGTTCTCCTCGGACTGGTTGAAGCCACAGATCTGGCAGATGCTGCGAACCCACTTGTTCATGTCGTCCTCGGTCTCCGCCACCAGGTAGAAGGTCCTGTCACTGGTCTTGATGTCGAAGATGTAGCTGTCTTGCAGCTCCTTCTTGTTGAAGGTCAGGCCTGCGTCCACTTGCTCACAGAAATTGAGGTTGATCACACGCAAAGGTTTCTTGGAGTGGTCATTTTTGTAGTACTCCAGGACGTCGGGGTCGCCGCTCATCCGACCGCTGCGCAGGACGAACCAGCGTTTCTTCCATGCCTGAAACCAAGAAGAAAGGAAGCATGAACCTCACTGCTCAGGTTGTGAGGACAAAGAAACCATTGCCAGGTGCAGGGTGACATAGATGGTCACCACAGTTCTCCATGCTGGAATGCTGCTCAGGACATCCCTGCACGAGGTGCACAGGCTCAGCTCTGTTCATGGGTTCGATACTCAAATCCCATTGGTTATCCAGGAGAATTAAATACCGAAATATCATTGTAGCTTAAGAGGACCCCAAGAAGTGTTAGTCTTGAGGTTTAGAGCAACCTTGCTCCTACCGTGCAGCCCAGCTGTGCTCCCAGGACCCAAATGCCCTTTGCTCCTTGATGTGAGATAATCTGCGGGGCACCATTGCCGGCAACCGCAGTGCCGAAATGCCTTCCAGCAGCTCAGAGGAGCTCAGATGTTTTGGACACAGAGCCCTGGGTATCCTGCCCTTCAGAGAAGCCCCTGAGAGCATCACAGCGTGCGTCTGCAGATACCGACCATGCCAATCGCATCTTTGTTTAAATGCTAGGATAGAAAGGCTAATAAAACCAACGGGAAACTGGTTCGGTTTTTTAAATATCAGGAATAATGCCAGGGACACCCGTGGAGAATCCAAGCTTCATTTGTTCTTCAGCATCTTCTCCTCCCCGGTACGTAGGAAACTCCTTAGCAAAGGAAAAGGTTATCATTGATTCTTCCGAGCACTGCTGACAGCAGTCCCTGGCCAAACCACCCCGGGGAATGGACTCAGGGCGTTACGGTGTTTGAAACAAACTGGCAAAATAAATGTCAGCCATCAGCCCTGGCACTGAGAGCGGCGGCCCCTCTGCTCTCCCCATGCCAAATGCAGTTGGGACCCCACGGGAGGGGGGAATAGCCACAACAATAACGTGCTAAATGCTACAACTTACATTACACGGCGAATCGTGCAGGTGTAACTCCCCATCCCATGGGCTGGAGCAGTTTTTTGGGGAGTGGGCTCTGCATGAGCATCCTGGTGCCCATGGGAGGGAACCCCCTTGAGCTGTTCTCCATCACAGAGCTATGCTGCCTTGCAGAGGGCTCAGCTCCCATGGTGCATGGAAGGGAAAGACAATGTCTAAGCATAGTCTGAGTTTGTTCAGGCTCCCTCTGAAGGTGGTGAAGGATTGAGAGGGGCACGAACAACGTGAGCTGGGTATGGCCCATGTGGATGAGCGGGGCGAAGTGGGGTACTTCTAGTGCTCCTGCGCTACCCGACACAGACCTCGGTTTGCACTGAAGGACACCAAGAGGAGGGATGCAATCTCCACCAGCCTGCCCCGGCTGTGGAAATTTGTTTTGTGAGATTTACCTTATTTATTTTCTAAAAAAACTCACTACTTTTTGGGTTCATGTGATCATGAGAGGTTGGGTCATGAGGAAGCACATGACATCCCTAAGAAGGAAGAGCCAACAGCCACAAACATCTTTAGTAACCCAAGAAAGGCAACAAGGCGAGTGGTGTGCTGGCACCTCCACGATGCTCCCCAGGAGGGGACTACAGCCCTGAGAGACTTTTCATACTGATGATGGGCACGTGCTACATCTCAGTGACCCAATTGCACCAGGATCACACAATTTTGGAGAATTTGGTGGCTGAAATAAGGGTAAGAAAACCCTGTAATGGTGGTCCAATTTTCACTGTACTTCTCAACGGCTTTAAAACAGCTTTTGGTGGTGTCTTTTGAGATTTGTAACCAAATTAGCTTTGTACTAATTCTCCAACTGGCTCCCAGTGCCAGGAAAGCAACCTGAGTGCAATCTTCCAAATGCAGCAGAGCAGCAAATTGCTTAGCAAGAGGACGTGCAAGGCTGGCAGATTTTGGCTTCATCCAGGAGATGCTCACCCCCTTCTCATCAAAACGGCTGCTTTTAGATGAAAAAACACACACAGCGGAGCTGCGTCCATCACAGAAGGAAAAACCCAATTTCACCAGGCAGCAGCAATAATTTGCTAGTCCATCTCCTCAAAATGGATCACCCAAATCACTGGGAAACCAACTCATGAACATTTTTTCCTAGCTCTAGGTGGAAAATGTCCCATTAGTTTCTTCCTATTAACACTGAGCCATTTCTCTGCAGCCCCTTGGCAGGACTAAGACATGGGCACACATCAGTGAGGGGGTCTGAAGGACCAGACTGTGCAACCAAAACAACCACCACCTGAATGAAGACACATCCAACACCAGTTCTTGCTACTTGGCTTGTTGCTTTCCAGCCGTTCGGAGTCAAGCCTTGCAGCATCCCTTCATGGCTGAGAAGCTACATTAAAAAAAACCCACAAAGCACAGAAACTAGACTCCAGAATTTAGAGCTTTCTTGGAAAAAAGAAAATAGGAGGAAATGCTGCAAGCAAGGCCAACGATGCTACCACATCTTCCTTTCTTATCACCAATGTGAGAGCCACAGCTTCCCCAGTTCTCTTTGGTCTGGTAGCAATGGAAAGCCCCACGCAGTCAATATTTGGCACAGAAAACAGTATAACACACGCAGTCTTGTGGTATTGAGTAAACCTAACATAAGCTGGTTGCGAAAAAAAAGGCTCTTGACAGGACAAAATTTCTTGGGGAGCTTCAGGAGCTGGAGTATCATTGGCAAGTAGGACCCTTGGGCAGAGCATCAGCCCCACCAACCTGGGATGACCACCCTGTCCACTTCTGCCTGGTGCCCTCCTGATGATAAAGAGTCAGCGGTGTCCTACAACAGCTTATGACCTGGACAGGCGGCTGCAGGCGGCACAGCTGGATGCATCTCCCACTGCTCGTCCCTGCAGCAAGACCTGCCTCCTAAGATCAGCTTCTGAGCCAGAAGAATAAGCATTGGCCATTAGAAGAGAATAAAAGGAAATAATAAAAGAAATAGCCAAAACCTTACTTTTGTGGAGGTTTTCCCCATTTCTTCTAATTTTTGAGCACTGAGCTCAGCAAGCATATTTTAGGATTTGCTATGTCTGTGTGAGGAAAAGGGCCCAGCTCGTGTTTGCCAGGCTAGGGCTGTGCTTGGAGCATCTCGTGGCACTAATGGAGGTTGCTGCAGCATAGAGCGACATGTGGCAGAGGATACGCAAGCTGCAGCATGCAGCCCGACCTCCTGGGACACCTATTTCCCCATTCAAAGCTATCAGTATCACCCAAATCTTCCATGTTTAGGCTCCTCTAGAATATCACCTTCTTGCAAGAGTGTGATTTAAGGGGCTACTGACAACCAGCTGCAATGGCAGTAGGATGCATAGGATCCATATGTGCATGGCAATCGCAGCCCATGCTGAACGAGAGGAGGATGCAACTCCACATGAACCTCCACACTCAGCTGCCCTATTTCCAAGACCTCTTCTCCCACCACGGGGCTGTGATGGCCAACACACGCCTCCTCCTCCACCTAAATTTTCCTTCTCTCCTTATTTCTATTTCTTCCCAGCTCCTTTGAAGCCCTCGTTGCTGTCAGCCCACTCCTGCCACAACACTATGCCTCGCTGCCGCGTGGTGTGAGCCAAGGGTTGTGTTTGTTTAACAGCTTTACAACGTAGAGAAGCCCACAGCTTAACAGCCATAAAACGGTGCTTTTGCAGCACAAATTTCCAGCTGTGTGGTCCTTTGCCTGCATCAGGTTGCTTCACAGTTAAATTACAGCTGCTAAAGGCCTGTGATAACATTGAGAAATATTTTGACACTTGGCAAGTAATTCTTTTAAAGACTTTTTTGTAAAAAAAAAAAAATCCCATCATGCTGAAAGTGCAATGTAAATCCTCCTGAGTGCTGAGAACCGTGACTGCTGCTTGATTGCTTTCCACCTCAACAGTGCCGTGGCAAGTTAAAGGTTACAGAACTGACCCCTCTCCATCTGGATGCTACCTGGAATTGGTTGGTTTATGGGCTGGAGACATTGGGCTGGCAGAAATGAGGTGCTGCTGCTGGGTTCACAGGCTGAGTGAACCCAGGAGAAGCAGGGATGCTCCAGGCGACTCTGTTTGTGGTTGGGACCCTTGCTGACCCCTCTGCTGGGTGAGGAATCAGGAGAACCCACACTAAGAGGTGGCTGCTCTTGAGCAACCGAGATACAGTCACAGGAGATGTCCTGACCACACCATGAGTGAGGAACCTCATGTCCCCTGCGCCTGTCCAGATGGTGAAATACTGTGACAGAGCTGGTGGCATCTGTGCAGAGGGCTCAGACCGTCCCTTGTTGGAGAAACTGGGGACTCCAAGGGCGTATTAACCCAAGTTCAATTTAGGACAGGTCAGACAGAAGCTTTATTAAGTATGTTCATAATCAGAGGACATTCAGACATCTCTCTCTGTTCTTTACCAAGGGTTTGCAGAGCCTCAGCCTATATACTGCTTCAGAAAAATAAAGAGGTGAGGAAAACAGTAAATTCAATGTTAGCAAAGCCCTGCATCCGTTCCCAGGAAGGAGCTTGCCAACTGCCACAATCCTAAAAGGGAGCCAAACAGTAAATAACATGCCAATATGGCAAGATGGCTGTTGGTATAGCCTACAGGAGGGGCCCTCCCAGTATTATCGTAGCTCAGAAGTGGGGATTTGGGAACAATCAGAGACTGTTAGCTTTTAGTCAAAAGGAATGTTCTTTGAATTAGGACAAACTTTTGAGCCAGACCTCTCAAATCTTAAATACTAATAATTTTACCACCACACCCTTAGTAGCATATATAGGGATAGGAGGAGAGGAGAGAGAAAAGAAAATTTCCCGGGAAACCTGTCTGCCCTGCTCCTTCCCCTGCTGTTGCTACCTTTGTCCCCAGGAGCGCAGCACACCACCAGTGTGAAATAAACCTTACAAAATCTGATCTGACACAAATCACAGGATCTAATCCGAGCTGGCAGGCAGGATGAGCGACCTAGGTGTGACATCAGGCGAATTTCTCACACTGGGATGAAGTCAGGGATTGAGTGATTTGAGTAGGAAATCCCACAGTGGGGCAAGCAGGCGCTTGTGTCCCAGATTTGCCTAGAGCCAGAGATGCCCAGGT